AAGAAACCTGCTACCCTCGTCTCGCTCTATCGGAGTGATCCCGATGACGGCAAGGTGAGGGAGGGATTCGTAGCCCATCATTCGCGTCCATCTGTCACCATTGGGAACGGAGCGTCGACTATTCGGCAAACCATGGAATGGTTGGACCACAAAGATAAGAATCGGGCACCAATTTGTTTCCCAGATACGTTAATAGGGCCAGATCTCATCTTCGTCCTGAAGCTCGGCGACGATGAAGAATCCAAAATTTGGGTGACAGTCCAGTCTAAGTTCAGCGGCGAGGATACCCTGCCAGCACAGAGAATTGTAGACGCGGTACCCACCACAACACCGAATCAGTTTTACGGCCTGCGGGTAAATGCGACCTATTTATATTCCTTGGCGATGGTAACCTGTTTTTGATGTTCAGAAAAACCCAACAGAAGCAGAGGAGTCAAAGGTGGAACTAAAAGATAGGTCGAAGGAGAAAGCAACGGACGACTCGACGGGGAAAGGAGGAGACGTTTCGATGGCAGAAAAAAAAGACGACTCGATGGCAGAGGAAGAGGACGAACCGACTACGGTTGAGGACGAGAAGAGAAGAAAAAAGAAAGCGGAGGATGAGGAAAAGAAACGAAAAAGAGCTGAGGACGATGAAAGGAGGAGAAGAGAAAATAAAGCAAAGGCCCTCTGCTTATTGGATGCCCTTCCTGGTCGTCTTCGAACACCGATACTCGAGGACCAGAACAGTAAAAAAATATCAGACCCGAGGGAACGTGTCATCAAAAGGCGGCTCGAGGAGGAGCGGTATACGGCCGCCGTCGAAGCATACTCTACCAAGATGGCGGGGTATCAGAAGGAGTGGGACAAATATCTTCTCAGGATGAAGACATATGATAGGAATGCGGAGAGCAGGAGGAAGAGGGAGGCGAAGAAGAGGGAGGCGAACCCCAGCTTGCCCCCAGTCAAACCCAACCCTCCTAAGCAACCCACACCGCCCGTTGAACCGCAAGAGCTTGGGCCAGACACGCCACTCACCGCGGAGCAGGAAGCCATTCTTCAGGGCGCTGGTGTGCACAGCGTTCTGCGTGTTGTCGTTGGATGGCCTGCTAAGACGTTATTGCACGTCAAGGGCGCTACGCTGCTGACGAACATCGCTTATTACTTCGACGAGGAACATCATCCGATTGTCGAGCTGGATATCGGGCATTGGTCAAGGACCATGGAGATTCTGAATCCGCCGTGGGGATATGTGGAGCATTGGCGGGGTCGTTCACGAGTGGGTCAGCCATCTTCGATGGCTCGACCTGCAAAAAAAAAGGAAAATGTCGGAATCAGACCTCGCTGGCGTTGAGGCAGAGAAGGACCCAGCCGTGGCGGAAATTCTTCGAGTGGGACCAAAGCCGGCAGCAAGCGCATTTGCAGCTACTGAATTTGAAGGAGCTCCAGAGCCGTCATCACCTCGTGCCACCTCCCCTCCACTGTCGACCATAGTGTCAGCATATTCAAGGAGAGAGTCCCAAACACCTTTGCCTTTCCATCGGAGAGAGGACGGAGGAAGTGACGATTATATGTCTGGCGCTGAACGGCAACCTGTTGCGTCGGGATCTCACACCTGAATGCAGACAGTATTTATTGATTTTCACCGCGGCGGCTAGATGTCGACACCTTGACCTTCATTCTGCTCAGATACGTTTATCATAGTGTATCATCACATGGACACCAAGTACTTGCTGTATTATCCGTAATTTTGCAGTTTTGAAAGCGATTATGAGGGGTGCGGTTGCAGCAAGCTGCATGTGGCTGTGCCACGTTGGCTTGCTCCATCCATCTTCACGCTCTCACAACCCGCTTGACTATTCACGGACCCCTTCGAGGTTTCCCGACAATTTCCCCACCCAAGAGGCTCCAGTTTCCACTTGTGGCCGGAATTCTAGTCCCATATGGCAAACATCGCCGTGAAAGCACTTGAGCCCATGTCGTGGAGCCTCTTGAGGTAGAGCTGGCGTTCGGTGGCGGATATGCTGAGTTTGTGAGGTTCGAGCCTCTCAGATGTTTAGTCGGTGTTAGGCAATCAGGTGAAGGAGAGCGAGTGTACTTCGCCGCCGCTACTATTGCCACTCTCGACCAGTAAAGAGCAGGCGGCTTTTTGTGCTGTCCGCATTTCGCTTCAAAGGTGGGATTTCGATGTTCCCTAGAGTCTTTACCGCTAACTAAGCTCAGCCTAGATGATTCACTTGTTTTCCGAAGGCGCGCACGACCACACGTCTCTATCCAGTCCTCCTTCAATTTTCCGGCCAGATTATCGCAGACAGAAGCTCCCTTCTTCACCGCAAGCCCACTCTATATAGGGTTCTGGCACGCACATGCCTAGATAGCTTTCTAAACCGCCTCGACAGCATCATTGGATGAGCTGCCTTATAGAACACGTTTGCGGCTTCGGGCCCTTGCCCAATATACCTGCGTCGGCGAATGCGTACACCGGGCTACTACGAACTCCTGGCTCCTTGACATGTTCCCTCGGGCACATCCTCAACCCCACCTTGCCAACGGCTATCCCGACCAAACATTTACTCGCCGGCATTCGGAACCCAGTTCCGTCAGTTGCTCTTCGCCTGAATGCAATCGACACATCCACCCCGGCTGGCCGACAATCAGCTCGATACCTGCGATAGGCTCGACAGGTACGCATCCTTCCCAGTCGCGTTACACTCGCTAACGCCCCTTCAACATAGGGCCTATCTCACTACCTCCAATTCATGTAATGCATCCCGTCCCCGAATGAGCTCCACCGCAGCCTGTTTTCACCGACTCGCGCTGACTTCTTTATTCGTTTATTCTCATCATCTTTTTCATTGTACTGAGGTTCATCATACTCGACACGTTGGGTTCCTTGCCCTCTCCGCCCGACCGTTTATGTCCTCTTCCCCGCCCTCACCGCCCAAGCGCCGGATCACAGCGCCCTGCACGTCTTCCAGCGTGTCAAGAACAATACGTCCTGCAATAGCTTCCTGTCCGTAGATCGCAAGCATACGCATGTCGCGTACCTACAGCACTCCTCCACGCGCCCCGCATACCTCATTCCCGCCCCTCTCGAACCGCCCTTCCTGACGCAATTCTCCAGCTCCTCCTCCGCTTACACCTCTTCGCGTACTTCCTTTGGCGCCGCGGTCCCACCCCCCTTCATACTTCGCCCGCTTCCCACTGGCCTCAAGCGTCCCCTCGCCCACCGCCTAGCACGCATACACGAGCGGACGGTCCTCGGTGCCGCCAAGTGGTCGAAGGTGCTCCCCGGGAAGCACGGGCTCCAGCGGACGGGGTGGGCGGAGGCATCTGCTCGAGGTCGAGCTGTCAAGTGAGGAGCTGGACCGCGATACAGGCGGGATGCGCAGCACCCCTCCTGCGTCCTACTCAGCCCAACCTTTCCAGCCGCAGAACGCGCCGTGTGTCTTGTCCCGGATGTAAAGAGGCGGGACGGGGACGGGGACGTGGATGAGCATCAACCCGAGCTCGATAACAGCGAGGCGGAGATGAAGGTAGACACATAAAACAGAGATGCCCGAGGTGGCTGCGCACCCGACATGGGCGCCTCCATTTTTTGCCTTCGCGGATGCGGCGATTGCGACAGAAGAACGCAGCAGGCCTAAGGTCCGCCGCGGCGCGAGGGATGATCCTCCACACCTCGCCTATGGACTGTCACTGCGAACGCGTGGGCGTCGCAGCCGAGTATGGGTGATGCGAGGCGTCCACACGTCCCCAATCCCGAGCTACGAGCTGCTGGTCCCTGCGTCGAATGCCGATCGTGTGATAGAGAATGGCGAGATGCACACAGAGAACGCGTTCCACGGGCGTACCCAACGAATCCCCGCGTGCATCTTCGACCACACCCTTCCACGCATCCCGTTCGGCCTCACCGACATCGTCTCCCATGGCAGGACCATTATCCGCGCAACTGCTGAGCCCTCGTACGCTGAGCGATCTGGCGGAGTTTTGCTTCCCCGCCCTGTCCCCGCCCGCAACTCTCCAGTGCAGTCGTGAGCAGCAGACAGCATGAGTCCGCATTCTCGACACGCACCCGCTGTGTCTCCTCCCCTGTCTGGTCGCATCCCCCTCACGCGCTGCCGTAAGTGTGCGCGGCACACGTCGCGCTCATCCCGCATGTATCCGCACCCGTGGCGCCCCACCGCTGCGATCCCCGCTTGGTCTTCACACGGTACGGGGTGCACTTCCCCAGGCAACTACCTACGCATTCACCGATATACCCCACAGCGAGACCCACGCGTACGCCTTGCACCTACGGCGTGGGCTGGGTGAAGCGCGTGCAAAGCGCCGATTGCGATTGCGAGGGTGCGTGCGCGGCACTGGGAAACGGAGGTATCATGGATATGGTCCTGGACTCGGATTGGCGGTGGATGCGGGTGTGCAGACGTGCAAATGCTGCGGACGGCGGAGGGTATGCGGCGTGAGTGCGTTACAAGTGTGTTATGAGTGTGGTGGCCCTGGGCCCCAATGCACATTCTCTAGCACGAGTCCTGGTATGCAGTCTCATTGCTGTTGTAGTTCAGACAAACAGCCCCAGCTGTTACATACCGTACTTCAGGGCGTTCCTTGAAAACCCCTCGTTCAAGAATCTCCTTCTAGTCCGACTGCTCTCCGCCACAGCTCTCAGTACGCCGTAGGTTTCAGCGCTGATATAACAAGCTCTAATAAGGAAATAACTTCTGCTCCAGTACGGAGTCTACAAGTATTGTGTTACCCGGTATGGTGTCACGGTTAACGGTCAGAAAGGCGGCCTTATTGTGTAACGGTTAACGCTCAGAAAAAAAAAGTGATCGAGAACAAACTTGACGGCCCACAGTCTTTCCTGTCGTCTTTTTTCAACGTGCAGTGAAAGGGGAACACCTCACGACACCAGACAAAAGGATATTCAGGTACGGGGAATCGAACCCCGAGCTGCCGCGCGCTGTGCAATTATTTCAAGTTGAAGATACGTCACAAAATCTTGACTTCGTCATAAAAAGTTCCGGTGCGGGGAGTCGAACCCCGCGCAAGTGCGCTCTTCTTCCAAGTAAGGACTGAAAGGCACCTATGTTACCGATACACCACACCGGAGATAACGACTACGAATAATATCAAAATACAGGCATTTGTGGTCTTGCTTGGGCCCGCCTCTTCCTAGACCCTTTTAACGCGGTACGCCTCCTTCCACAATCTGAGAGAAAAATGACCTGTCATCCCTATGGGATGTCTAGCTGATGCTCGGCTTGCAAAGACCTCGGTCGCGTTGCTCCCTCGGCGCGCGTATCTATGGTACGCCTCCTTCCTCACAAATCTTTTCGCAAAAGAACGCAAGGCAAGGCCTCAAAATGAATTCCAAGATGTGCAAACGAAACGGGGGTATAACTATGCGGGGAATACAGCAAATTAGCGATAAATACAATAGGCTAGAACGTCCGTTGTCAGTATCTACCCACTCTACCCGTAGCCAAAGATGGCCCCGAGCATCTCTTTCCACCCGCGCCTGATCACCACCCCCGCGCCTCCGCCATACTCGTCCGCCAGCCACTCCAAGTACCGCGCATCCATGCTGCTCATTGGGCCTAGCTCAAATGTCGTCATGTCCTTGGACGTGAAGATGATGATCCGTTCGGGCGCATCGTTCGCGGGCAGGAAGGGCTCGAGTGTCGACAGCTGGAACGCAGTGTGCGCGTGCAGCGTTTGCAGGAGCGACAACGTCGTCAGTATCTGCCCGTCCCGGCGCGCGGTGTCGTAGGGCTCCCCACCGTCGTCGCCCTCGTCGGGCACAATTGGTGGTGCGCTCGCGTCCTTGCCTCTGGGGCTCGTTGGTGTCGCAGGGCTGGTCACCGTCGCCTTGCCGCTCGACCACGACATACCGCTTGAGCGCCGCGTCGCCTTGTTCGTCGGCGCCCCCAGTCCGCTTCCGCTGCTCGCGCTCGCGACCTTGGGCCCGCCCTCAATGCCCATCCCCAAACTGCGCACGTGTCCCCCAGGGCTCGACGACGCCTCGACGCCGAGCGCGCGCAGGCTGAGGTCTTCATCGCCCTCGAGCCGCACGCTGCCCCAGTTCGATGCACCGTCGGCGGTCGAGTAGGACATGATGCTGTTGCCACGCCACGAGCCCATCCACAGCCCCGCGCAGATGACGCAAACGTCCTCGTATACGCGCCATGCATCCGTCCAAGCGGTGATTGGCGACGACTTGGCCTTGGGGTCCTGCGAGAGGGAGGCCATAGAGCAGCACGAGTGGTCGTGCGCGCTGGACGAGTCAAGCTGCAGGATGCGGTTGAGCTCGTTCCACTAGATGCGTTGGTTAGAGGGGATAACGAGACGACCGTAATACTTACGAGCTTGACGTCGCTCCACGAGAAGCGGACGACGGACAGGCGGTGGGAGGGCCCTCGAGGTCGTGATGGGCCAGAAGACGGTTGCGGGACTGGTCGCGACGCATAAAACGTCGGCCGTGTCGCCTTGTTCGGGGTGGACGTCGTCAAGTCGATCAGTAAGTCATAGCACGACGCCTTCTCCAAGAAAATAGCATCAGTGGTGCCTGTGGAGTTGTGAGCGGTAAGAACTAGTAGAAAAGGTGCACGCACAAGCCACCCAGCCCCGTCCGGTATTGCCCTCCTTCTGCAGTCTGTCCAAGTCATTAAGCGTCACCATCCCGAGGACGCTGATGCCCTCCTTGCACTTGCCGCGCAGGCGGGAGGACGGCGACCCGGGGGAGGTGCTGTATTCTATCTGCTGCTCGTAGCACATGTCTGCCGCGACCTGGCACAGAATCGATGCGGCCTCTACTGGCGGGAGGGTGTAGATTAAAATCCGCCGTCTGCCAACGACGTGCTTGTATAGAGTTAACGAGGAGGGGCCGAATATGCGCAGGAGGTGCGGGAGATGAATTGTCGGATTCTGCTCCGTGACGTCGTCGTCGAGCTGGACGTGGATTAATACATGTGCAGAGATGATGCGACAAGCAACGCACCCGCTCCAAAAGCTCATGACTCCAGCCATTCCAGTCCCCCGCGCCCCCAAGATCCGCTCTAGTGACTTTGCGCTCGTAAAAGAACGCACGGGCTGGGTCCCAGTCGGTTTCGGTGGGTATCAGGGAGGCGGAGCTCTCGAAGCGAGAGTAGATGAGGCTGGTGAGCTCTTTGAGCGCAGCGGTGTGTCTCCACGGTCGGGGACGTCCCGATTTGGCCAGGAGGATGCCAAGCGACGACAGACGGAACCCTCGGTGCCCCTGGTCAACCGTCTTTCGACGCCGAAAGACGCAGACGCCGTGTTGGCCGTCCTTGGTGAAGTACCTGAGGAAATGTTAGCATGGAGTGGACGTAGCGAATCCAGAGACGGAAGGATGCGACTCTCCATCCACGTCATGGTTTGGAGGACGACAGTGGAGATGCGAGACAGCACTCCACACTCCACACTCATTATCCGCAGTCCTCCAAAGAAAAAGAAAAAAGCAGTCGAATGCAGACTAGACACGCACACGACATCTTGCTCGACCAAATGCAGCCCACTCGGAAGGGCACTAAACTCCAGATTATCGAGATTTAGGTCTGGTTTCTTCACAGTTAGCTTCTAAATCGACCCGGAAGAGTCCCCTCCCACCATCGTTGGCCTTTAACGACCAGTCAATTATGTTTCCCTGTGTAGGATGAAATGAGGCATGAAAGATCGCAACTGCGCAGAAAGATGTCAGAAAATTCAGCCAAAAAACAGGGTAATTGGTTCGCGCACCTATATCCTGCGGATACCGTCCTTTGGAATCCAGAGAAGACATGGAGAAAACGAGGGTCGTGGAAGAAGCACAATAGCAGAGTCACGTTCTAGTCACAGCACAGCGTGACCATCCGCCCTCCATGTCGCAGCAGGCGCAACAAGTCAGTGTCACCGATTTGGACGTTTCCCAGCTCGCGGATGTCCGCAGGCAGCTTGAAGAGGTGGCCATGGGAATCCCTTACGCGTGTGGGACGATCTGATCGCGTTCCAGGAACTGAATCACCTCACAAACTCCTTCGCGCAGCTGAAGCAGGCGCAGGCAAAATTCCGGGCGTGTATCGAGAATGTCGGCGAGATACGGCCAGCTAATAAAGGTATCGTTGGCTTTTTGTTGTTTCCGTGCAACTAACTGTTCTTCAGGCAAAACCATCCTCGTGCCTTTGACAAACTCGCTCTACATTCCCGGGAAGCTGTCCGACCCAGATCATGTCATCGTCGACGTCGGGACAGGATATTTTGTGCAAAAGGTGTGCATAATCTCGCTATCTTCGTCTTTGCCGCGATTTACACGTCTTGCAGACGCGAGAACAGGCGCTGAAGCATTATTCTGCGAAAGTAGACTACATCCAGGGCAATCTGGAGACGCTCGAGGACACGATAAGTAAAAAACGGGATAACATGAGCTATCTAGTCAATGTAATGCAGTCCAAGCTGCAGCAGCAGCAACAGACTGCGTCTTGATTTCTGTGAGCCGAATTCATGTCCATCTCAGCACCATCGCGCGTGTATCTGACGCGCGCAAGACACGACATTATCGAAGCTGCCGACAAGGAAAGAATGCATCACAATGCGGATTGAGTTCGGCATGCTGACATCGGTCCCTGGGATGCCGCCGAAACGATCCGCGGACAACGGCTCGCAGCTTGCTCCGTACCGCCATGTTGTCCACTTTCCTCACGCTGCCATTGCTGGCATCGCACCTTACAAGTCACTCGAGGCACTGCAAATCTATCCCAGGGGACGCGGCCTGGCCTTCGGACGCCGAGTGGAGCAGACTAAATAATTCTGTGGGCGGTCGGTTGATCAAAACGGTGCCTATAGCTCAGCCCTGCCACAATCCCACCTACAATGAATCCCGCTGCTCGGAAATCCAAGCTCAATGGCATTCGTCGATCCTACAGTATGTACGTTTATCGGGAACGGTCTCGGGACCGAGAGTGACTTGAATTGCAACAGCGAAGAAAGCTCGTCGTCGATGATGACCCCGTTCTTCGCCAATCTCAGCTGTGATCCCTTCACGAGGCCGGAAGATCAGTGCATCCTCGGTACATACGTTCAATATGCTGTGAATGTCTCGCGCCCCGTTCACATATACAAAACTCTGGCCTTTGTGAAGAAGCACAATATTCGATTTGTTGTGAGGAATACGGGGCACGAGTGCGTATCATCCGACCAGATTCTTATGCGCCGTGGGTAATTGGAGCAGCTACATGGGCAAGTCAACCGGCGCCAACGGGCTGGCCATCTGGACGCACTTCCTGCGCAAAACCCAATGGATGGAGGAGTTCGTCTCGCCTGCTTATCGGGGTGTTGCAGTAAAGGTACAGGCTGGAGTCACCGCTGAAATGCTGTACGAGCAAGCGGATGCGAGGGGATATGTGGTTGTCGGCGGCGAATGTCCCGTGAGTGATTCTTGTATCCACATTGCTTGCGGGTCGTGTTGACGCAGAATGGCAGACTGTTGGACTGGCAGGCGGATACACCCAGGGTGGTGGACATTCTATGCTGAGTTCGCTATATGGCTTAGCAGCGGACCAGACGCTGTCCTTCGAAGTGGTAACCACTGAAGGAGATTTCTTGACGGCGTCGCCGACTGAAAATCAAGATCTGTACTGGGCTCTGAGCGGAGGGGTGAGCGAAAATCCCTACCGCGAATCCAAAGCCTCGATAATTATCCTGCAGGGCGGAGGAACGTACGCAATCGTGTGGTCCATGACCATTAAAGTCCACAAAGATCTCCCGATCACTGTCGCCTCTGTTGAATTCACGTCTGAAAATATCTCACACGAAACATTTTGGGCGGGTGTAAACGCGTACCAGGCCAGCACGCCTTCCTACACTGCAGTAGGAGGCTTCGCCGTCACTTACTACAACAAGGACCTCTTTCGCATGTCCCCCTTGATATTTCCCAACCTCACGATCACGGCGGTCGACCAGCTAGTTAGCCCTCTACATCTGGCGCTCGATTCGCTCGGAATTACATACACGTCCTCGCTCGTGACGTACCCAAACTTCCTCAACACTTCACAGAGCATCGCCTCGACAGCGAACTACGCCGTCGGGGTGTGGCACTTCGGGGGCCGCCTCCTTCC